TGTCCGACCTCCACTTGACTACTGTGCCGTTCATCTCTTTAATACGTTGGGGAGCCTATAGATTAGATTGGTGAGTATATCGATTGACTTCGTGATATGCAGCATATAAAGCTAGCTAGAATTTCGATCATATCCGGCAAGAGGTCAGGCTGCATGCGGATGTGTGCTGCCCACGATGCCGACGTAAAAGCACACATAATCTATGTTCATGAACACCCACTGATATAGCGACTAGATACATGGGACATATGGGACAAACCCACAAAAACAAGATATGTGGGATATGTGGGTTTGTCCCGCGGCGCCCGCATCGAGCCCACATCTCACATTCTCGAATCAGGACACGTCGTGACGATGTATTGGAGATTAGCACACGCTGCCATGTAGCTCCGCCATGATCGCAGCGCCTGCCATTCACAAGCGCAGCTTTAAAGAACAAGAAAAGGAGTCGGTTTAAAAGAAAGCCGGCTACTTCATCTTCTTTGAAACTTAAATTGTTCTTAGTTCTGCTTTGCTTACTTTTATATATTTTTGTGGATAGTGGCTTGCACGAGTGTACACAAATTAAAGGTTGATCGATCGCAGACTCATGGGACATAGTCGTATCTTCGCCAAGCAGCCGGCACCTTTATCGATCAAAGAGGCAGCCGAGAATGCATCGACTTATCTTTTGACTACTAGAGCATTGCAAACAATTTTTGTGTGGAAAACATTGTACACACCATGCATGACACCAGATGCATCTGCACTCCACTTCACATAATCAGGAAAAAAAACACAGTAAAAACCAGCATGCATCTGCACGACCGAGTAGTATACACATTATTCCACCGGACTCTCACATGCATACAGCGATTTGTACGTCACTCACCTCTGCTAATGCTCTCGATGATCAATAGGAATAGGATGTTCCTCTTGTATTAGCGTGCACGATGACAAAATGTCTCCGGTGGATGGAGTCCTCCGGGTCATTCAGGGCATGATGCATCGCTCTAGTCTCTAATAGTACATCCTATAATTCACTAAGCTCCTTGGGTTTTAAGCCCTCTCGTTCAATTGAGGCCATCGATTGCGTCTGGTGGATCGATTTTGACTGGGTCGTGCCATCCTGCACTGGTGCCCAGGCTATCAGCATCTCGTTTATGAAGAAAAAGGAATGATAGTTATGGAAAGAAGGAGAAAAATGCATTCATACACACAAACATTCGCACGTACTAGGCTGGTCATGCATGTACTACGATGCAGCATCGAATTAGCTGACGGCTTGATTGTATGCCTCAAAATTCAAAACGAAAATTATAATCAATATACTCGATGTACATTTTGCTGTGTGGTGATAAAAAAGTAGTCGCTCCTGTTTCAAAGCTTAGATTCAATTCCAGCCTGCTGCTGGTTTTTTTCTGCACATATTTTGTTCCGCATTCACACCTGAATGGTTGTGTAATAGTAATATTTTTCCACACTCAAACTCGGCATGGATTTACCTTTTCCACACAAGCTAATAGGAGTAGTACTTGAGTACGACTACGTACTACATGCTTGTGCAACCTTTTTCCACGCTCAAGTCACGTTCGGCTTTGATTTACCTTTTCCACAAAAGCTACTAGTACTAAGTACGTACTCCCTCCATTCCTAAATTTTTGTCTTTATAGAGATTTCAACAAGTGATTACATACGGAGCAAAATAAATGAATCTACACTCTAAAATATGCCTATATACATCCGTATGTGATAGTCCATTTGAAATCTTTAGAAAGACTTAGGAACGGAGGGAGTACATTACATGCTTGTGCACCCTTTTTCCACCCTCAAGTCTCGTTCGGCCTTGATTTACCTTTTTCACGAAAGCTACTAGTACTAGTACGTACTTGATGTACGCCCACGCAAAAGGCATGTCCTACGCGCGCGGGGTGGGGAGGGTCTCCTCCATCTATGTCGCTACCATGAGCAATATGGGAGAAAATCCTAGCCGGCTGCCACGAATCTTCCTCACCCCACCCCCTCCCCATTGCCACCTAAGGGTGTGGTCGGGTAAGGCCCGTGCGGTGGGGGCGGGCCGGTTTTCTCTCTTCCTCTTGGTTCGGATGGGACATCACGGGATGTTATATACGGTGCAGCTCGCATGTCGGTGTAGTGTGCATGTCGGTGTCATGATCTCGGGGTGGATCGGGAGGGAGGCGTGGTGCCCATTTTTTTGCGTTTTTCTATCGATTTTTGTTTGCTGCGTTTTCCCTTGGCGGGCCGGCCTACAAGGTGCTGCTACGGGCGCCAGCAACCTATTCGGGCGCTTAAGGCGCCAAACAGGAGCTCGTGAATGGATCTCTTTAAGCTATGTCCGTGTTGGTGTGTCTTCCTCCCCATAGCCAAGCCCATCGGTCCAATCTCCAAGTGATTGGATTCGGCCGATGGGCCAAAAATCGTCGTAGACACTATTTACTCTAGTAAGAATAAAAAATAGCAGTAGCTGACTGCTTACAAGCGGATGTAAGTAACATACGGTACCTTGCATGATGCATATTCATTGATCCGCGTATATATATATGTGCCGGCACCCAACTATTCCTATACTTGATCGCGAAGACACAGACTGATTGAGTAGATAAAAGAAGAGCTCGCATTCAGTTGATCACCTAAACTACTTCGCCTTGATCTACTAAGAAGATCCGCGATGCTACTAGATGCAATACATCTATAGTTCTGTAGCACATGCATCTTGATCTGCACATGTGCTTCCACGTCAACGCGAGTCAATACGTAGTACGACTGGCTTGGATGCGCAGCTCCGCACGATCGATACCGGTAATGAGGTAAAAATAGTTTTCTTAATATAATACAGACGCAGACGCTCATACAAATACATGTATACTCACCGCCATGAATGCATGCACACACACTCTATTGTTTTTGTCACCTTCGAAATACTGAGCCAGCGAACATAGTTTTCTAAGAAAACAATGCTAAACTTTACACCCCTATTATTCCTTGACGATTTTTCGCCAAGTTCTCGATCACTACATAGATTATTAAGTCTAGTAGTTAATTGATATTCCAAAGCAATCCAGCACATTGTGCAGCTTTGTTCTGGACTGATACCTCCGTGTACTTTGACTGGTCTTGTATGCATGCATGCACGTAGGCATGTGGCCACGTAGGGGGATTCGTGGAAGCAACCTCCACAAACAAATTTAAGACAAGGAAGCAACATGTACATGAGGCATGAGCATATGCTCTGTGAACCCGACCGAGCGATGGACCAAATGGAGAGACGAGTCTCGGTCCAACAATTCGATCCACACCAAACCCGGGTCCACAAATGACATGCAATTTCTACTGCTTTTCTTCGCAAAGTTTACCGTGTGGGCTCCTGGCGTGCACCACAGCACTCTGCATGCATGGTGGAGTATGTAGTGGCCGGGCTTGGCTCGCGTCGGTCAAGGTCACGAGCCGGAGAACGAAGAAGACGGTCACGCAATCCATCGATCGAGACCGATCTTTCGGGTGGCACGACAGCAGAGGCAGGCTCAACTTTTTGACTGCATTGCACTGCCGTCTGGTGTACTCTCCGCGTATCACGCACCACGGTGCGCGTAGATAGATTCCTCCGCTCGATCGATGTGCTTTTCCCCCGTTAGTTTACAAAAGCATGCAAAGGTTCATTCGTACCTTCGATTTCCTTTTGACGAAAAGGAATCAAGTAGTGAGTGTAACCAACCACAGTTAGGTACGTACGGACAAATCTAGTTACATTCGGGGTCAAGTCTAAGGTTCATCTCCGAGGGTGTTGTGATCCTCGCCAGCTCACCTCCCGCAAAGTGTTCATGCAGTCGATCCGTCCTGCCGGCAAAGATATGTGTCCACCAAGCAAAGAAGCCGGAGTACAAGGTGGGGAAATATTATAATGCTAGGAGATAGTCTGGCATAATCGATATATAATCCTGGCATAATGCCGACCAATCACGGAGGCAAAGCTCACATACGCCGGGGCCATTGTACGATTGATGAGAGCTTCCATTATCTGAGGAAAAAAAAAATACTATATGACCACAATTCTATCAAAAAAAAATGAATGTGTATTATCATAGTTTTCTTTTTCAAACGTGTTACTCGTTGGAGCACGAGCACGTGCCCATACATGCTCCATTTTATTGATTGGACCCATTTTTTTTTTGAGGGTCTGATTGGACCCATTTAATCTGTCATCTTCCTAGTACTATTACTATTATTTGTACGCCAAATTAATACAGGTATATAGTACTCCCTTTGTTTGTAAATATAAGCCTTTTAAACGTTTTAATACGGAATACATATAAGATGTATGTAGACATATTATAGAGTGTAGATTCACTTATTTTCCTTCATATGTAGTCACTTATTTTCCTTTGTATGTAGCCATATTGAAATCTTTTAAAAAAAACTTATATTTAAGAACGGGGAGAATATTATTACCACCCACCAACCCATGCATGAGACATGCTCGGTCGAGCTCTCCATCACAATTCAGACCATCTGTCCAAGTCGAGGCCGTGTGCATACACCGATACACGCACAAGAATTTCGTCCCCATGGATTCATCGACCGCCGGGGACGTGACAAAGAGACGGGCAAGAGGCGTGGAGGAATCCGGCGCGACCGCTGGCTGCACTGCACAGTGCAGACTGCTGACGGTGACGCGGGCTATCTCTGTAGCAATGGCTTTTTAGAGGTGCGGTGATGCGTGGAACCTTCCTGTGTTCTCCTCCACGTGCGTGCCTCACCCCACCCCGTGCCGATGCCGCTGACCTGACTACCCCGCCCGCCGGCGCGCCACTAGCACCGGTCGGTCGGTATCGGCTGGTAGCCGAGCATGCGTCCTCTACTCGGGCCATGTGTGTATAAATAAGCTGGCCACGCCCACGATGCGATGCACATCCATTCACTCGCCAGTCACCACCATCTCGCACGCGTCTTCAGGAGCTTTGCTGGCTTCAGCGGTGGAGACAGAGAGCGAGAGAGTTGTTGCCATGGCGTCCAGGGAGGTCAGCATCCAGATGGTGGGGGTACTGGACGGCCAGCCGAGGGGCGCTCCGTTCCCGGAGCCGCTTCTCCTTCGTGTCTCGTCGCAGAACGCCGGCGTTTCTTCGATGGAGGCTGCGGATGCGGTCGTTTCCGGCGGCAGGACCACCAAGGAGGCCGTCGCGGCTGCTTACGCTGAGACGCCGAGCTCTGTCTTGATCAGCGTCCCGGGCTCGCCGTCGGGGCTCCACCTCGCGCAGCTCGGCATGCCACCGTTGGTCTGCGCCAACGAGGCCGACGTGGGCGCCCCTGCCGTGCCGGCGAGCGTGTTGAAGGTCGAGCGGATTCACCACCCGGCTGTGCCGCAGCTGCTGAAGCAGGCCCGGCACCACTCGCAGCCGTCCTTGGTGGTCAGAGTTGGCGGCGAGGTGCCGGCGGTGCTGCGAAGCGACAGCATGCGGGAGCGAGACCGGCGGTTTGACCAGTTCAAGACGTTCTCTGGCCGCCTTGAGCGGCAGCTCTCCAGCCTCCGCGGGGTGCCACAGGACACCGACGTCGAGCAAGGTGCGGCGTCAAAGATCTCAGAGGAGGACACCGACGAGGACGATGAAGTGCCCACTGCCGACCGCTACTTCGCCGCGCTCGAAGGACCCGAGCTCGAGACACTTCGGGTACGTACCACGTCACCGTGTAGCATTCCAGCAAAAAGTTTACCACTCCTTACTAAAACATCTTTCTGTCTAATAACCATGTGAACTTGCAGTCGACAGAGGTGGCCGTGTTGCCTAAGGATGAGACATGGCCGTTCCTGCTCCGATTCCCCATCAACGCCTTTGGAATGTGCCTTGGCGTGAGCAGCCAGGCCATGCTGTGGAAGACCCTTGAGTCGGAGCCCTCCACCAAGTTTCTTCATGTGCACCCTGCTACTAACCACGTCCTCTGGTGGATCTCCGTCGCACTCATGGTCGTCGTCTCCATCACCTACCTTCTAAAGATTGTTTTCTACTTCGAGGCCGTCCGCCGCGAGTTCCACCACCCCGTGCGCGTCAACTTCTTCTTTGCACCATGGATTGCCTGCCTTTTTCTTGTCAAGGGCGTGCCGCATCCGGTGTGGGAGATCCACCACGCCGTCTGGTACTTGCTCATGGCACCCATCCTGTGCCTCGACCTCAAGATCTATGGCCAGTGGATGTCTAGTGGTGAGCGGCGTCTCTCTAAGGTAGCCAACCCATCCAACCACCTCGCGATCGTCGGCAACTTTGTTGGCGCACTTCTCGGTGTTAGGATGGGCCTTCGGGAGCTGCCCATCTTCTTCTTTGCCGTCGGGTTGGCCCACTATGTCGTGCTATTTGTCACTCTCTATCAGCGGCTCCCCACCAACGTGCAACTCCCCAAGGAGCTCCACCCAGTGTTCTTCCTTTTCGTCGCCGCACCTAGCGTTGCTTCCATGGCTTGGACGAGGATCTCTGGAGAGTTCAACGATGGTTCCAAGCTCCTTTACTTCGTCTCGCCATTCCTCTACGTGTCTCTAGTGGTGCGTATCAACCTCTTTAGGGGGTTCAAGTTCTCGCTGGCATGGTGGGCGTACACATTCCCAATGACGAGTGTGGCCTTGGCGACGGTGTTATATGCATCAGAGGTGGACAACATGCTGACACGGGCACTGGCGGTCGGTTTGTCAGGAATTGCCGTTGTCACGGTCACCGGCGTGCTAGCCACCACCATGTACCACGCCTTCGTGCGGAAGGACCTCTTCCCCAATGACGTATCCATAGCCATCACGCGACGAAGGCCCAAGTTTAGCAAGATCCTCGCGCACCTTCGGTCATCGAGCTCAGATGTCAAGGAGCTTGTTCTCTCCATTCCAAATTTTAGTTCCAATTCCAAGCAGGGCGCATACTGCGATGACGCCGGCTCCAGCTACAAGACGAGCGGCAATGTCGGCGAGTCTCCTGTGGCACACGGACACGGAAGAGCAAAGTGTTAGGAGGTCCATGCACGACCTGGTGCTTGTACGCACGGCTAGCTTATGTTGATTAGTAGTGCTTGTATAGAGTTCTTTGTGTTTTTTCTTCATTCTTTTTCTTCTTTGTGAACTTGCTGCACATAGTTGCAGATTAGGAGTGGGCCGTGAGCAATTTACATCGCCATGATAGTGATATAATTGTCGGGGTTAACGGTTGAGTTTGTAAATTTAGTGGTTATACCTTTTTCTTCAGAAGTAGAAAAATCTCAGTTACATTTCTTAACTCTATTCTCGTCTCAAGTAACTACACAAACCTGAAAATTGGAAGGACATTTCACCAAAGGTGTATCAATAAAATGGATGGCTTAGTGTGTTGCAAATTGCAACTTTAGAAGGGAGGTTTTCAAGGTTTTAATACAGAGGAGTATTTGCAAAATCATTTTTTATGTGTGACCGTGACATGCTTTCCACATATTGCCCAAAACCAAGGTTACCGCTGACAGCACTCTCTCAGACTTAGCTTTGCTTACGTTTTATTTTAACTAAAACATAACTTTACTTACATTTCCTTTCAATTAAACATAGCTTTGCTTAGATTTTTCTTTGAGGGGTGAAACCAAACTTTATTACTCAAAGTCCACATAAACTTGGGTACAAACGGGATCATGGGGTTCGGACAACCAAATGTGCCGCCCTTGATCCAAGGAATGTGAGAACTTTGCTAACCTATCAGCATCGGTGTTCGTTGCTCCATAACTTCATCATAGCCTCCGATTCGAAGCAGGTGGAAATGACATACACAATGATAGTCGAGATTTTTCTTTCAATTAAAACATAGCTTTGCTTACATAGAAAGGAGCCCTCATTCCATCTCCTCTTTTGGGCTTTAGGCTCACCGGAAGTAGGCTTTTGGTGTGTCGTGTCTATTAGGGCGTGTTTGGTTGAAGTAGTGAACAGTAGTTGCATTGCATACACATCTCAACCCAGCCTGGTTGAGCAAAAACAATCCCAAATGTGTCATCTGCAAGTTGTTTGGTTGCCTGCATCTAGGGTCGCTGCATTAGGTAATACGCAAGTGCATATTGTTTGGTTGCCTGCATTGGCCCAAGCGGCACATGAACACAATGTTTGGTTGCATGCATGAGGTATGATTAAGAGCTAGCACTTGCACTTAGCACACATGGTTAAGAGCTAGCAGAGGGAGGGGGAGAAGAAATGCAGTGTGCGCAGGACAATGGCGACTGCGGTGGATAGTGACCGTGGCACCGTGTCCGACATGACGAGCATGGAGTCGTGGACGAGCGACCCCCTCAACGGCACAGCGAGCGACACCATCGACGAACTAGTTGCGGTGCTCGCGCAAAGACAGTCGGCAGAGGAGGAGAATGTAGTGCTCGCGCCATGGTATCGTCAGTGCAGTGGACGAGAGAGGAGGCCGAGATGATCGATGTCGGAAACAACTCTAGTGTCGTAGGGCGAGAGAGAGGAGGCGAAGATGATCGACCCCGTCGGCGGCGTGGCGAACTGCAGTGTGCGCGGAGGCAGAGGAGACAAAAAAGCAGTGTGCGTGCCATTGCAGTGTCAGTGCAATAGGAGGACGATAGAGAGTAAGCCGAGATGAGCGACGCCGGAAACAACTCTAGTGTAGTAGCACACGGGCAAGGAGATCAAGGGGAAGTGGTTCGGTGTCGAGAGGGACGAATAGGAGGGCTCTGAGCAGAGAACAGAGGAGCTCGACATGGCGGCGTCAGTGCAGTAGACTGCTGTCCAAACAGAGATGAAGCTATGATCATCAAAACCAAAAACTTACAATACGAATGTTGTGAGGAACTACGAGATTAGGCTGCTGGTCAAAGGAAATTTCAAATGATCGATAGTGCACGACGAATCTGACAAAATTTGTCCAGAATAGCTCCAAACGGGAACACAAGATCAAGAACTTACGACCGACGAAACTACGAACCGATCGCCTGAATGGAACCGTAGCATCGAGGTGCATCTTTTTTCTGTAAAGCTTACCTCGAATCGAAGCACCGTTGTGTAGATCAGATGGGCATGGAAGAGAGGAGATTAGGGAGGAGCTTACTGGAGGTTGAAGAAGACACCACGTAAACAGCTCGCATCCCTCCTGTTTCTCCTCGTGCAGGGGCCAGCTCGTTGCACTTCCGCTCGCCCTGGCTCGAGAGAAACTGCCGATCTGGACGTTCCCAGCGAGCCAGGCCTAGAGGTGCTTCAAGTTTCGTGCTATATGTCAACTTATGACCATCACTATTGGTCACTGAAAGGTCACAAATTTTCATTTATGATCTTTTTGTGACAAAAAACAGAAGGTCAAAAGCTGGGCGTCGTAAACTGACTATAGCGACCTTTCTTCTGGAATGGTCAAAGACGTTTACGACCAAAATATTCCTACTGTGGCGTTTTGGTCACTAGCAACCTCCCCCAGGCCACGTAGGCATCCAGCGTGGCAAGCTGATGTGGCACAAGATCCAGCCCGGTCCAATTCAATTTTCTACATGGGCCGAGCCCAACAATTCAGCCTATTTGTGTTTTTTTCATCAATTTTTGGTCAGGATCATGGGCCAAGCCCAATATGGCAGCCTTTTTTATTGTTGGGCCGCGGCCATTTTGGCTAAACAATTTCATTTCTTTTTTATTAAATGGGTCCACTAGTCAGATGGGTCCTAGTTGTCAGGTTTTGGTAACAGGTTTCAATTTGTTAGGTAAGTGGGTCCCATCTATCAGACTCATATTCTTCATATTTCAAGCAGTATTCAGATTTGCAGAGACAAAAAACACACATAATACTTAAACAAGAGCAACCGGATCACATAATACAATACTTTACAAGCTCTATCCGTGCCAGTACAAAGGGCCATGAATAATACAATACTTTACAAGCACTACAAGTGTAATATAGTACTACTTCACAAGCTCCTCGACTCGCTGGACTCTCTCATATTTCTATGCAACTTCAACAGGACAAAAACTTCGATAGTCAGGGCTGGAACCATAGTCAGATGAACAACACGCCGGACTCGCTCGACGGCGATAGTCAGGGCTGAGACCAAACAAAACAGCAACATGGCTTCCTCTGTCATCCTGTTACATGAATCAGAAAAGAATGAGAAAAACTGGGGCAAATATATTATGAACAGACCATTCAACATTCAGCTAGTACCATGCTTTTTGTTGTCGAGCTAGTTAAAATGAGATAGTAGTTCATATAAGAAACAGACAAACAATATGAATATGCATGGCACATATGCAGGTTGTGCAAAAAAACTGCACTACAACACATTGCGCCTAAAACAAAATACCATTCTACTATCACGACCATACATTCAACTGGCAAGATCTAACAATACTCGTCAGCACACGCATACTAAATTTCACAAAGGCAGGAGAGAATAAAGGGAACCAAGGAAGATACCTATGGATGATAGTGTCGACGATGATCTGGATTGAGTTAGCATTTATGAGGAAGTGGATGGTGTCCATGGTGTGCTTTAGATGCACACAGCCATGAGCTTCTTGCCGTTGTTGCATCCGTTCGCTCGATGATGGGTACCAATGCATCCAAGTAGAACAAAACCACCAACATTAACCCACAGCTTCAAGTACAAGCAAGTATATATCAAGTGACAGTGAAAACAAGTTGAGAAAAACACTGTAAATATCTATTTCATGTCATGCAGAATTCAAACTGAATAAACCTATGCGTACGAAGGTGAAATATTACAAAGAAAGCACTCATCAGGAAGCATGCATACAAAGTCTCTGTGTTGGCAGTAGTAAATACTCTCTGTGTTAGCAGTAGTAAAACTCATGCAGTACCAAGTTAACAACTTTGAGTCAGAAAAGCTAGAAATGTCTCTTAAGAGAGACCAGAACTTAGAATTAAGGCACATATCATATTCTGAACAACATCAGCACCATGGTAGTAACAATTAACATTAGTAGGACATCAATGGGGCACAACTTAGTTAACTGCAGACAGATGGACACACAATTACCTTCTCGAGGCAGGGGCGAGCGTCCTTGAAGTCGAGGAAGATGAGCGTGAGGGCGGCGCTAATGGCACTCCAGGACATGTTGAGGCCGAGCAGCAGCGGCACAAGCATGCCCAAGGTGATGGTGTACATGCCGAAGGTGATTTTCTCCCCAGATTCAATGCATGGAACAGCTCCCTTCCGTTCCCAACAGCAGCAAGGTACTGGTGCTACTGCCGTGCAAAGAAAAATCTTGTAAGCATGATAGAAGGTTGGGATGGCAGGAAGTGAAAATCCTGTCTAACAACATGAGCAGAGCACTAGTTATAAGCATGATAGAAGGCTGGGTGAAGAATATACGAAACTGAACCAGTCTTATTATTTCATTTCAGAGAACGTTAAACACAAATGGCATGTATATGGATCACTGTGGACAAGCAAACTTCGCTAATAAATATGAACAAGGCCTACTATAGCATAGCAGGTAAGGAGTTAGATTAACTCAAGTATTGGTGACTAATAGGCCTATTATTTCATTTTAGAGAAAGCCTGAAACACAAATGGCATGCATATAGATACCAAGGACAAGCAAACTTAGCTAATAAATATGAACAAGGTCTACTATAGCATAGCAGGCAAGTATTGGTGACAAATAGACCTATATTAAGAGTAAACAGAACTAGCTCGGAAAACAACTCTATATTAAGAGTATCATGTGTGAATGTGATACAGTAAAATATTGCATGCTATGTACATCAAGTTAAAAGGCACAAGTTATACAGTAGCCTAAAGCAGAGCAAATGTACGGCAAGTTGATAAAAGAATTCCCAGTCATGGCATTTGATTTCACAAGAGAAGAATGTGTAAGGTGCAATGTTGTGTACACTTTGTAATTCTATAATAATTTGTAGTGCACTGTGGCTAGAAGCCAGAGTACACTTGAAGCTACGAACTATGCAACAAGCCTGAAACTCCAACAACAAGAAGCAGAGTTGAGTTCCTAGCCAGCATTTGCCTCTCAAAATTTTA